TCTCATAAATAGATACTTAGTGGTTGCTAAAGGTTTGGGTGCCCAATGACGTATCGATTGGTCATCAGATGGTGTCCACTTAAGAAATCACGTGATGTTCTGTAAGCTTAACAAAATCACCGTAAATAAAGCTGAAAGGTGATGAAATCACCGACTCCCACATCAGACGCAGCATGCAACCGTAAACTCGTTGTGCTGAGGTACCGCGTAGCTACTTCTCAGCTGTTTTAGACAACTAAAAGGACCCGTTGCAATAATTCTCCCCAGGGTGAATTACCTTAGGCTTAGTATACAGCTTTCGATTAGTGATCTAAGCATTCCACTAAGCCGTGACCGTGGGGATGGTAGGCGTTAGTCTTCATGTGGCGGTTATTGAATGTATTCAAACGGCTTGCAAAGGCACCACCGAAGTGAGAATCAGAGTTACTACCAACAATAGCAGGGTAACCAAACTGACATACCTAAGCAGGTAATTCTCAAGTAGGTTTGTAGATGGGAATGACCTGCAGCCGCTCGGTGGAATAATCTAACCATGTAAGCAGATAGCTTCCTTGGGATGGAGGTTAAGGTACTACCAGATCAACGTGCACGTGGTGAAAACGTGACAGTAGACTGGGGCAATTACTTAGGGGTAGTGCATTGATGTTTGAGGTATGTGCGGGCCCGTTGGCAGATTCCTCATTGCGTTATGGGCCAGACTGGACACCCAGCGATAAGTTTCACCGGAGGTTATTGCCTAACGAAGACCATGTGAAACGTAAACGATAACAGTAGAATCAGATAGAAAAAGCAGCACTGGCTGAAGACGAGAAGACAATTTTTACCACCTGTTGGCGCATAAAAATGCATGTTTAATGGTTACAAAAATTGAACTGCTGGACCGGTGGGTCATCAATCCGGGATGCAGTCGTGGCGACTAAGTCGACGTTTGATTGCGTTGTGTTGATTGGGTCGATTAGGTCTGCTCATCATTATTATTATCGTACAGCGAAATACACTGATACACTGATCGCTGCCAATTTCGCAATGCATACAAGGTTATTGGTAAAATTTAGGGTAGACAGGAATTGGACCTACTTTGAGGGAGGGAGACGAAAGTAAACCTCTATGGTCAACACAGAGTGCGCAATCGAACTCTGCATACATACAGTTTCAAGCATTCTGACCTGATAAGAAATGCCAACAAGAACGCCACTGCTGTGGGCTTGAATGCTCTCGAAATCTGTCCGATATTTCTAGTTAATTAACTTATGTATTCAAGGTGACGAATTTAGCCCGTTGTTGCAACTGGATGTAGAAAGAAGATTCAGTTGAACTGCAAGCGGCAGTAACTTTGCCTGAAACTAAAATAACATGACCCAGGAAAGTGATTTTGATCTCATCCAATTCGCATTTATTTGGATTTAAAGTAACACCATATTTAGCGAGGTTTTCGAGATGGGCACGGAGGAATTCATCTGAAAAACCAACCACTCACTTCATCAACTTCCACATAGGCATTGTGTAAACCACTAGTTACCTCGTGCATCAACTTTTGAAAGTCTTTACAGTGTTACTGTGTCGGAAGTACATACATAGAAACTCAAATGAATCGAAAACAATCACTGCAGCAGTTTCGAGGGTGTTTGCCCGTGCCACCGGAATTCGGTGGGATGCACGAACAAGTTCGGTTCAACTGAAAATACAGTGGAGTGTTCAAGTAGCACTTTGATGAATTCTTGTTAAGGTTTTGTCAGAAAATCAAAGCCCAAGCAATACCACTGAGCTGTGGCGAGACTCAAACGGACCGTTCACACCACACTTCAGAGGAGGAAGAGAGGTATAAAAACGTTAAGAATATTGTGCAGTACAGTTTTACACAAGAAGTGAAACTATTGTCTTAAATGACAGCAGACCATACGAACTAATCATCGCATGTATTGCCCAGCAGTCCATGCGCGCTGAGTGAGGGTTAGTGCGTGAGCTATGCGCGCTTCAGCGTGATGATGTAGATGAGCAGAGGGATCGGATTAGGCGAGGAGTGCATTTCGCGGCGAATGTTGCTTGTCGGTCTGAGCCTCAAGCCCGTCGGAGGCATTGTATATCTCACGAGTCAGTAGCCCTGATGAATAAGAAAATGAAAATCCCGACCTGTCAGGATGAAGAAAGAGTTAGGTGGCATCTGCAACGTCAGCTCAAGAAGAACCGTGAGAGCTGGGGGGGGGGACAATAGCTCGTGAAATGGAAGTAGCAGCTGCATCGGGGAATAATCAGAGGCTATTCCGACTGATATGCAATACGGGAGGTCAATGAACTCCAGTTAGTGAAACAGTCTGCGATAAGAGGGGACAAACTATTCACAATATTTTTTCATTACACACTTTCGTGTGATGAACAGCAGACGGGGTGGAACCCCATAATCACGAGGACCTGCTGTTCAGTGATTGAAACCGGTAAACTAAACCCCGGGACTTGGAGTGGTAAACCACATGAGGCCCTGATAGGTTGGGTGTGGTATTGAACCGGACGACAGCAAAGCTGCCTACCACCAAAGTCGGGTGGCGGTGGCGGTGGCGGGGCTCGAACCTCGGACCATGGGTTCTAAAGCACGCCGGTGACAGCGACTAAACCACTGCGCCACCACCACCCAATAGGGATCAGTGACTCGATCGCTGGGCGGAATAATTCAACGAGCAGTTTAGCTGGCCTGGCGTTAGTCAGATAACTTCGTCTGCAACTGAAGCTCTGTGAGCAGTGTCGTGCGATTCTCCAGCAAAAGCAGAAGTTCAGCCTTGCATTCAAGCTTTGAAGCGAGAAAAGCAGGACCGAATGGGTTCCTTCCCACTCCTTTAAAGATGGAAAGGGGTGATAACCTCGTAAGTCCTATTGCCACCTTACTGCATAACATTTGGACGCAGGAGCGCATGCCCTCATCTTGAGCGAATCACTGATTATTCCCATTTTCAAGAAAGGATCTCGCAACAATTGCGAAAACCACCGCGGGATAAGTTTGATTCCAATCGTCACCAAAGTGCTAGAATCCATCATACTTCGACGTCTGACTCATTTAACAGAGATCCACATCCGTGAACAGCAACCCAGGTTCTGGCCTGGCCATGAATGTGTTGATTTAATTTTTACGTTGCGTCAGGTCCTTCATCTGCGTCACACCCACCGTCGACCAACGGTCGTAATGTTTCTTCACCTGAAAGGAGCGTTGGACTCAGTTGATCGCGAAACTCTAATGGGTTCCCTTCTTCGAAAACGAATGCCCCAGAAGTATGTTAATTTACAGAGGTCACTGTACTCACTCACCTCTGGTCGAGTGAAGGTTTACAACGAACTAAACAGGCCGTTCGTCACCAGCAGCGGCGTTCGCCAAGGGTGTCATCTTTCCCCATTCCTATTGGATTTCGTCGTGGATGAAATACTGTAGAACGCGCTGAGTGGTCTCCAAAACCTAGGTATTGAATAGGCAGCTGGAGAAAGTCTGTGCGATTTGGATTACGCCGATGACATCATCTGTCTATTCGAATGTACGCACGACGCGCGAAGCGTACTTGATAGACTAACAAGTGCTGTTGCCACATTCGGTATGTGCTTTGCACCTTAAAAGTGCAAAGTAATGCTGCAGGACTGGGTGTTGCCTACTCCCGCTCTGAAACTAAATGGCCAGGAATTAATTATAGTGGATTACTTTTCGTACTTAGGTGGTTGCAAGACCAATGACGGAAGGACATCGAAGGAGATAGCCGCTCGCATTTCCAAGGCTCGAGCAGCATACGCACGACTGAAACTCCTGTGGCGTAGACACGAAGTTTCATTTAAGTTGAAAGGTCATATATATTGTGCTGGTTTGAGGCTTTTAATTTACGAGTTGAAGATATCCATCGACTAGAGGTTTTCGATTATCGGTGTTTATTTAGTTTGGCCCACATGGGATGGAGCGGACGGGTTAGTAATCTGGAGATAAACCGTCGTGTCTTTGGGAGTTTATTAGGGATAAATTTGCTAGGACATCGAATTCAGATTAGCTGGCTTCTCTGGCTGGGGCCCGTATGTCGTTTACTCAGCTGTCATCTGCCGCACCGCGCTTGATTCGCTGTAGTAACTCTCGGTCGGAGGAAACGATGTGGAGGTCAACAGATTGCGTGGATACGAGGCATGAAGAAATGCACTGAGTTATTAGGTAGAGTAGGTCTGTAGTCTTTCCGTTAGGGGTCCGAAAGACTTTAAATGGCTTACTGGAGACACTGAAGGATATGACAACTAATCGAAAGCAGTGGTATTCTGGCTGTAATTTCTTCTCAGACTAGAATACTTGAGAAGGTATGTATGCATAGTTAGGTTGTGCACTCTGTGTTGACTGTAGAGGTTCACTTTCTCGCCCCTCCCTGAAAATAGGTACAATCCCTGTCAACTTTACTTATTACCAGTACCTTTGTAAGCAGTGCGAGTTTAACGGCGATCAATGTACGATGACGATAATGATAATAATAATGACGATGATGATGCGCATCTATTCCATCATCGGTGCGTTCGAGGTATATCTACTATCATTGAGCAACAGCGAATTTCGACGCCGAACTAAGAAAAAAGTCACTACCAGTCAGTGCATGATTTTCTTTCCACCCACTTCGATTACTCGGTCATATTTTGCGCTCGCTAACTTCCCGTTTGCTTCTCAGGCTAGGAATCAGGTTCTCTTTCGATATCAGGGATTGAAAGGTAGGAAATGAAGACGAAGGATTGCTATATGTTCTTGTTTTTTGGAAGGAGTTTCAGGGAAAGTCATCAGAAATGGTTCAAGGCAGTACGAAAGGACTCGTAGTCATTGATGTGGTTGCTACTAATCCGTCCTCTACTGGCTTCGCTAACTGATTTCCAGCTGACATATTTTGCATCGCGCGTTCCCTTTCATTTACAACACGGGTTACATACATATTACCGAGAAAACGCTAGTTTCGAGCAGACCAGTGATAAAGATTTACTTATGATTCCCCTAATTTTTGCAGCCAAAAATGTCTGATGATGATACTATTGGACCTCTGCCATCTGAAATGATCCTTAACTCGGAGGACGAGGATACAAACTCCGGTGAACAGAAATCAAAAAAACGAAGAGCTTCAGATGACGAAAGGGACGATGTCGTTGGTCCACTTCCAACGGAGATGCAACGGAACGAGGGGTCTGGCGATGAAGCTGATCCACCTCCTGCAAAACAAAAAAAGAAAAGTAAGCGAACGCAAAAAGCGCGTCGAAATATCATTGTCTCTACAATTGGGATTAGTTATTTGGCTGGACTGCTATATATACACATTGTCGCACACACCGGCGTTCAGATTGTGGGCCAAACAAATCACAGTACAATATTCTTCATATAAAAAAGAAAGGTCTATGATTTGCTCTAGGGCACGATACTGATATGTTATCCAGGCCAAAGTAGCCGAATTTCTTAGGGAGTT